GCACGACAATCTCTATCAACTTTTTATCAATTTACAAACAATTACCTTTTTCATAAATGCATCGCTTTTCCGAGCCTACGGAGAAGGAACTCGAATTCGTATCTTAAAGATGAGGCATGTGTACTCGTATCTTAAAATTGAATTATGTGATATCGTGAAATTCTCTTAATATTTATTTTTTTATTTATAAAATTTAAATTTAAAATTTTATTTAAAATAAATAAAATTTTTTATGTAAATTAATAGATTGTTAATATATGTAGACTTTCTAAATATATTGAAAAAAATTAATTTAGTTTACATTATAGAGATTTTTTTTTAATTTTAGTTGTAGCCATCTCACATCTCTTATTTCACATCTCTTATTTTTTACGAAATGAGATGATCACTAAATTATTTAGATCGTTGGTTACATTATAAAGATTTTAATAATAGACTTAACCTAAATATCAAGAATTTAAGTTATGCACTTGTCACACGTGCTAAAGGTTTGATGTTAATTTTGTTGGCCAATGGTTCAATAATAATTACAAAAACTATTTTGAGCCTATGATTAAACAATGGCAAAAATATGACATAAGGACTCAAACTTACACAAAATTCATAATTTTGGATCCAAATTTCAATTGTACTCAATTAAGGTCCCAAATTACATGCAATTTTCAAATAAGGTACCAATTGGACGAAAAATTAACTTCCGTCAAATCTCCTAGTAACTCCATTAATATCTGTAACACTCAGTGATTTTTCCACGTTAATTAACAGAAAAGCATGATGTGTAATTTTTATATGAAAGATTATTAACTAGACAAGAATAAATAACATGGCTAAAAATTTTGCATGTACATGTAATATTTCAACTCATCCCACAAAAAAAAAAAAAAAAATCCTTTTTTTTTTTTTTTTTTTTTTCCTCTCTTTCTCCTTTCCCTTTCTCTTTCCTCTTCTCTTTCTTCTTCCCCTTCAACTTCCACTGGGTTCTTGAACCCAGCGAACCCAGGAACCCAGTTGGGTTCCTTTTTTTTTTTTTTTTTTTTTCAACAATTTAGTGACAGAATTACTTGTATTTTGAGTCATTTAAATTTTATTCTTAATTTTTACATATAAAAAAAATAAGTGTTTAAAATTCATTTTTAATAGTAATGAATCAATAGTTCAATTATGCAAATTCTCTTATTACCCAAAAAAAAAAAAATTTATGCAATTGCATTAAGAGGCAAAGGACTTCACCGGAACGTGCACCCTTAAGATTATTTGAAAAGAAATTACCTAAAACACTTTGACCATCTAAAAAATAACAAAAAAAAAAAAAGAAAAAAGAAAAAGGAGAGGCTAAGGACTTCACAAATGGCCTATCTACAAGGAATTTGATTTCTGCATATACTTAACCAAAGGAGAGACCTCTATCCTCTTAGAGTAAAGAACAAAA